ACACTGTCAAGAAAATTGTAAGAAGAGTCCTTATCATATAGAATAATTATAGCTACATAGCAATCGTGATGGGGAATACAGCATTTGTAAGCTGATTATCTTATCACACTACTTTCTAAAGCAGCTGCACAAACACGATGAGTGATACAGTCTGCTTATGCTGAATATATTATTACATCAGTTCCTAAGGTGTCTACACAAATATCATGCCGAAGAATACAGCCTCCTTATGCTGAGTAGATTATTACACCAGTTCCTAAAGCGTCTACGCAAACATCATGACGAGAAATACAGCCTTCTTACGCTGAGTATGTCATTACGCCAGTTCCTAAAGTGTTCATGTAAACATCATGACGAGAAATACAGCCTTCTTATGCTGAATATATACACCAGTTCCTAAAGCAAGTATAACAATTTAGAGAAACATAATATTTCATATATAAAGGTAATAAATCATGACAGTTATATGAGATAAAATGTATGTTACAGTTTTTTTTAGTTAATAAACATCTTCCAATACATAAGTATAGCTTAAGAACAGCGAGCGATTTGACTCTATGTCTATAATATAAACAAAGGATAATATTTCATGCCTCTTCAATAGGCTTCATTTTATGAACTAAACTCTTAACACGCTATATATGTCTTGCTTTTCTCGCTCAGAGCTTAACGGTTATAAGAAACTCAAGTATCTAGCCTGTTTAAAGACTTTCTTTTCCAATTCTATTATCGCTGGGTTTACTTTTCGAGTTAACTGATGTGTCAGTTGAAATGCACTCCTCTAGGGCGCGTGCCAAAAGAACTTATTGCGGCATAAAAAAACAAAACACAAACTTCAGCTTCAAACTTTGTTCTGCTTGTTTGAGGGAAAATAACCTTTCATATTATAGTCTAGAGCTAGAAAATTGTTTAAAAAACTGCTTGGTCTTAAAATAAAAATGTATATTGTTTTTACGGTTTTGTTTTATTTAATAACATCGTTAATTTCATTTTTACGAACTTTGGATCCCAACTCATTACTTGTCACCTTTAACTAGAAAGTATTTCCTTTACTTAAATGACGAATGGAGTTCAGTTTTGATTATAAGATACATAACTGCGAGCGTAATAACAGAAGGAAATAAAAGTTTTCAGACGGTTTGATTGGATAATGAAAAAAATCTTTATTACAAATGTACGACGTTTCGACAAGATTTTGTCATCCTGAGGTAACAAGGAGTTCACTTCTATAACTTTTAAAGTAAGTGCGCAGCTTAACGTAGATCTATATATTGTGACTCTCCACATGAAAAACTTAAGCTAAAAGTCTACTAATTCGTGTAATGAATTGAAAGTATTATCAGTCTTAACGTTATAACCTAATGTAATTTCTTTCAATAGATAACCTTCGTGCTCTTTAACAGTCTTAAATTTAGAAAACTACAGGGAAAGTAACACAACACAGTGACTCTAAGCGTAAGGAGAGGAAGAGACCAAAGTAGACATCTTTTTCTAAGTCACAGTTTTTCACTTCATTTTTCTTTATGATCAGGATTTTGTTGTACTTTTAAAATTTCTGGAATTAGATTATTAAATCGTACTTTGATTTCAAACTCTAGAATGTCAATAAACGAAACCGAACCCTTACAAGTTACAGTGATTAACCACTGAAGTTTTAGAAAGTTAGAGCTACAGTGACTAATCACTGAAGTGTTGGAAAGTGAAAGTTACAGTGATTATCCACTGAATTGTTGGAAAGTGAAAGTTACAGTGATTATCCACTGAAATTTACAATGTGAGAGCTACAGTGATTAACCACTGAAGTGTTGGAAAGTGAGAGCTACAGTGATTAACCACTGAAGTGTTGGAAAGTGAGAGCTACAGTGATTAACCACTGTAGTATTGAAAAGTGAAAGTTACAGCGATTATCCACTGAAATTTACAATGTGAGAGTTACAGTGATTATCCACTGAAATGTACAATATGAGAACTACATTGTTAACCACTGAATTGTTGAAAAGTGAGAGCTACAGTGACTAACCACTGAAGTGTTCAAGAGGGAACTACAGTGGTCAAAACGAAACTGTTCAGTGATTAATTGTCAGGTGAGGTGGCGGGTTCAAATATTTTTTTATATATAAAAATCATTAAATTATAAGCTTGCGAGATACCAGTAAAACTTATAAGATGCAAACACCTTCACCGCTCATTATCTTGTAACTTTCAACGTTTGTAATTTTTAATGCATAACAGCGTTTTAGATAATATCTTTCCAAATGAGCACTCTTTCTTGCATATCACGTATAGTAAACTAGACAGCAGATCTCCAAAAACTTTAATGATCAAAGAATATGTAAAGGAAAAGAAGCATTGTTTATGTGAGATCTACACTGTCTTCACGAACTACGTTAAAAAAAATACAGTTCTTGATTTTATAGGGGGAGCTAGTGTTATTTGTAAAGGCCCAATAAGAAAGGGTCGTGTTAGTTTCTGAGAACAAAAAATAAGAAGATAGAAATAGCACATCATCAATTTGTTGTTGGAGATTGGATATACAGTATACCACGTGACTTTGACTTTGGCCTTACAGTCTTGAAACAGTGCAGTAATGAAAGCTAAGAAGTATCCGTGAATTTTGTTAAGTAAAAAAATATTCTTGGAGTAGTTATTTATCAAGAAGCTATGAAGGAAGGAAAAATACATAGTAACCAAAATCAAAAGCTATTTCGAGGTTAAGAAGAAAAATATAGTTGTGAATAATAAGATGGTCGCTACATGCTACTTCTCGTTAACTGACATTTGTTTTGAAAATATTACAACACCAGCAAAGTATATCGTTTCCTAGAGCAATTAAAAACTTCAGGTTTTGGAAAAAACAACATTGTGTTATTAAGTATTTGAGTAATTCTAGGAAGAATTGTTTAAATTGCTCTTTTTCTTTTCAATGCACATTTCCAAAAATATGTGGACTGAAGACATAGCTTACTTTAACCGATTGAGTAAGTGTTGTTCAATGTACAACTTCAAAAATATGTGGACTGAAGACATAACCAAAGTTCTTTGATTGAGTAAGTGTTGTTCAATGTACAACTTCAAAACTATTGTTTACTGAAGACATAGGAAGTTCATCGATTGAGTAAGTGTTGTTTTATGTACAACTTCCAAAATATGTGGACTGAAGACATAGTTAAGTGCTTCGATTGAGTAAGTGTTGTTCAACGTACAACTTCCAAAATATATGGCCTGAAGACATAGCCAAGTTCTCCGATTGAGTTAGTGTTGTTCAACGTACAACTTCAAAAATATGTGGACTGAAGACATAACCAAGTTCTCGATTGAGTAAGTGTTGTTCAACGTACAACTTCAAAAATATGTGGACTGAAAACATATCCAAGTTCTCCGATTAAGTAAGTGATGTTCAACGTACAACTTCAAAAATATATGGACTGAAGACATAGCCAATTTCTTCGATTGGGTGAATATTGTTCAATGTACAACTTCAAAAATATGTAGACTGAAGACATAGCCAAGTTCTCCGATTGGGTAAATATTGTTCATGGTACAATGTTCAAAAATGTTACACTAAAATATTTGTTTTTATGAATTATGGATTCACTAACCTCCAACCGTTTGTAAGTAAACATGTTAAATAATGGTCTAAAGATACAGCTTTTGAGTGGATTGTTTATTTTTATTTAACTTTTTTTACAGCGTTTTGACCACTCGTGTGGCCATCATCAGGTAATTGTCTTTATTTTGTGAAATATTGCGCGAGAATGTTGTTCCGATTTAGAAAACATACAGAGCGACACCTGTGTTTGATTTAAACTAGATTTTAATTCACGAATAATTAATTATTCTTTTATGTTTCTTCTGTTAATGTTGTTCTTATTGCATAACATCTTAAAGTTGTTAATGCTAATTGCATATTGATTTGTTGTGTTGTGTTCCCCAGCTTGTAATTTGGTATGTGAGATGTATAGTTTCTGCCTCTTAGTTTAGCATGGCTGTGCTTAATTACTAAATCAAGAAATGATTATATGACTATGTTATCCACATTAAAATTATGTTTTTGGTAGTGGGATATTTAGTTAAAACATTTACAATGAAATCAGCATGATTAAGTTTCTTAGCCCTTGTTCAATGATAACTTTCAAACTGTTTCCCGAATAAAAGTTATGGTACAAATGTTGGTATTCTTCAGAAAGTTGTGGAGGTGGTACAAATCATTGAACTGTAGCTCTAGAGCTTAGCTTTTTCAATTTTCAAGATAGTATTGTTATTTTCAATTTATATATTAATATATAACCAGATAAGCCAAGAATTAAAAAGTCTAAATGGATGTATATGTAGCAAAGACTGATTTCCTATCAATGAATTATTATCCAGATATTGCATGTTACTCCTCTGTACCATCATGGGTTGAGCAACTATCGACCAAGAGGTCTCATTAACTCCTTCAATAATAAGTAAGTGAAGTAAAATTATGTTTCCTGGAAAGGTGGCATTGAGTAATTGCATAGTCTTTCTTGTTCCTAGTATACATGCCCTAGGTCCGCTTGATGACCATTTCTTCACAATGCTGCTTATTCATAAAACATTGAAAACAAATTACATTTATAGGTAGGCAAAAAGCTATTTGTCTCTCTGAAGGCTTGTAAGCTTGCGGGCATATAGCACTAAAAATACCCGCGGTGGGCACAGTACAGATAGCCCATTGATTAACTTTGTCTTAAAAACAAACGATAAAAACACACTACTAGTTGTACTTGTATTTTTTCCGATTAAGCAAATTATAACCATAACAATGTATTTGCTTATTGCTGTACATTTTAATGTTGTGTTATCAGATTTGTATTCTTAGCCGTATTGAACACAGTTATCGAAGTCAAATAACAAAATCTGCTCAGCTTCTTTCTTTCTGATTGGTGGAACTGGCTTATGGGAGAGATCCAGAACACTACGTCACATTCTTCATGAGTAGCTGCTTAGCGCGTGCTATACTTCTTGAACGCTGCACTGAGATACGGTGCGGGATTCAACTTTATTTCCTGCATCAGTCGTTAAGCTGCAAATATTGGTATTATAGCTCTTTACGAGGTCCTGTTTTCTCGTAAAATAAGCGGGCAGGTATAAAGTTAGTCTACTCTCTGTCACAGTGAGTTTTTTGTTCGGACCCCAGAGCTTCAGAACTTCTCCACTGTGTACATACCCAGCTGAGAGTTACGAGCTTCTCATAGTTTTCTGTTAAAATGATCTTATGCCGCACGAGACACGAGCGTGAACGAATAGATCAAGTCTGATTATGAAAAGGTTCTAAGTTTTAACTTGCTAGAGTTCCCAGCATTGGTGTTGAAGAAAAGTTTGGATGAAAATGTTTTGTTGGTATTTTGCAAAGTAAGTTAACGTCAGTTGTTGAACGAAATGAATATCAATATCGGAAGGTATTTCTATTTTCTCTAAATTGTAAACTTTGTCACACATTGTGCTTTTATAATTCTCGAAGTTAAAAGCGAGTGGAAGTTTTAGAAATAGAAAAAAGGATTCTTGAGAAAAAAATAAACTCATTTAATACAGTTTCGAAAAATATTAATCCTATGAATAAAATAATTATTTTATTTTAATAGGAAAAAAAACAACCAGTCGATTATGTAATCTGAGCTCCTTAAACAAGCGTCAAATATATTACATTAAGTGTTCTAAATCGTCTAGGAATTAAACATGGAGGAACTTAATGTATCCGGTTTCCCAAACATGACTGAGAAACAGTACTTGGAGTTGAGGATGGGGCCTCAGCAGATTTCTTCTGTCATCATTATTCCAATTACTGTCGTTTACGTCCTAATATTTGTGAGTGGAATTATTGGTAATATTGTGGTATGTCTCGCTATAACCAGGAACTCGCACTTTCAAACTCCAACTAACTATTACCTTCTCTCCCTTGCTATTTCAGATCTTCTCATTTTGATATTCGGTAAGTAAAACATCTTTCTGTTGTTTATACGTGTGACTAAACGTACGTATTTGTCTCATTAGAAGTACTAAACCGCTAAACTGTAAATACTGAATTAGTTGTGAATTCGTTAAAACTAGACAATAATCTTAGTCATTCAAAAGTATGTATAAATATCTAAAACAGCGAACGGTAAAAATATATGTTTATATATCAGTGAAGTTGTTTATATATTGTGTTATTTTGTATTCAGTATAATGTGGGCAAGTAATCAGTTTATTACTTAATCATTAAACCTTAAACTTATTTCTTAAGATACTGTTTATATATCAGTAAAGGTGTTTATATATTGTGTTATTTTGTATTAAGTATTATGTGAGCAAGTAATCAGTGTATTACTTAATCATTAAACCTTAAACTTATTTCTTAAGATACATACACATCTTTATGCATTATGCTCCTTAATATTATGGCACAGTCTTTGATATTTGAAGCAGGAGGAATCTGTTTCAAAAATGGTATGCTATGCAACCATGAATATAGCATGTATCTCTATATAGTAAAATACTGAAAAAAAAAGTTTTGTGTTGAAATACGTTTATTTGTTTGGAGATTTTTTTGTCTTTTATTTTGTTATTGGTTTTGAAGATGTTTTGTCTCTATTGTTTTTTATTGATTTTGATGCATGTTGATGCGTAGCTTTCTAGTTTTCGTTTTAGTTATAGAAATGTTTCTGGGTCGGGTAGAAAGCTGATTGTTTGGAATCCGAAAGACCCATGTTTCGGAAGCTAATACTTATGTAAATTTTTATGCATCTTATAACATACAGATGAGCCTCAGCATGAGCCACGATCGACGAGAATAACTATATTTCTGTTACCAATCTAGCTTAATAACGTGAGAAAACTAAGCGCGGGAAATTAATTTCTATTCATGTTTTATATATCTTACAAAACTTTAGTTCAATGTGACGCGATCACCTCTGTAATAACTGTTTCACGAACGTTCGGTTTGTAAGTCTAACAGTAAAATATGACCTCTCTCTGTCGCCTCCTTCACTGTCCAACACAGCTGTAACATCTCACGCTAGTGTACTTTTTCTATTAAGCAAGGAATATCATGCATAATTCAAACATATATTGCCAGCTGAATAGTCAGAGATATTGTAATTTCTCTGGTGGTTGGAGCCGTTTCGTATTCATTGTAGGGTGAACTGTGTACAACTACTACAAAATATAACATTTTACTTATTTTATCGCATTTATAAATAATAATTTTTATTTAACGTGTCCTTATATAATTTTCAACACTAATTTTTACATTCTTTGTCAGTGGAATATCTCATTAGTTGGTGAAATTTTGTAGTTATTTTTCTTTAAACTCCCATACGTGCAGAGAACTAACTTACGAGTACGTTGGTATTTTCCTTTAAATTTCAGGTTTCTGCTGTTTTGGCAATTGATGTTATTAACCTTTTTGAAAGCAGAAAAAAATACCGTTTCTCAGATTTGTTGATAAAAAATAAGGAAAGTAACTATAATGTTGAAAAATTATAGATTTTGGTTTATCTAATTCATTTTAAATGGATATATTATTGCTTAGTAGACATTGAAAATATATTTTTATCTCAGAGCAAGCTTTTGAATTGTGCTAGTTCTGTAAAAATTGTTTGAATAAAGCCACACAATTGGCTGTCTGTGCTCTGCCCACCACGGACATCGAAACCAGGTTTCTCGCGTTGTAAATCCGCAGACATACTTCTGTGCCACTGGGGGGAGGCGTATAAAATTGTAAAACAAGATTATTAATTTCTGTTTACAATGTTTTTTTATTTTTCTCATATAAATAAAATATGAATTAAATAAAAGAAAAAATAACATATTTTCACCGCTATTAAGAACAGTTCCATAGGAAAACTCTTTCTATGAATCCAAAATTACAGTTAGCTAACAACATAAGAAGTAAACGAAGACAAAAAAGAAAATAAGAATTTACCAAATAATGGTCACAGATCAAGTAATTATGTCTGTCTACCTTCTAGTTTTTATAGCATCTATAATATACCTTGTTGTGTTTGCATTCTCAGTTGTTAATGTATCCATTATTATAATTATCTATATAAGCTGGTTCATTGTATTGTCCATAACGAATTTTGTGGGATAATGAATGGTTATACCTTGTACTCAGTATAGAATAAATTCAGTACAACACTATTAACACACATTCTGTGAGATAATGAATGGTTATTCCTTGTACTCAGTATAGAGTAAATTCAGTATAACACCATTAACAAATTCTGTGGAATAATGAATGGTTATTCATTGTTCTCAGTATAGAATAAATTCAGTACAACACCATTAACAAATTCAGTGGAATAATGAATAGTTATTCATAGTTCGCAGTATAGAATAAATTCAGTACAACACCATTAACGCATTCTGTGGGATAATGAATGGTTATTCATTGTTCTCAGTATAGAATAAATTCAGTACAACACCATTAACACATTCTGTGGGATAATGAATGGTTATTCATTGTTCTCAGTATAGAATAAATTCAGTACAACACCATTAACACATTCTGTGGGATAATGAATGGTTATTCATTGTTCGTAGTATACAGTGAATTCAGTACAACACCATTTACACATTCTGTGGAACAAGGAGTCGCTACTCATTATTCTCCATATAGAGTGAATTCAGTCTAACGTCAGTAACAAATTTTGTAGGCTAGTGAAGTGTCACTTATTATTCTCAATATAGAATAAACTCGATGATACATCAGTAACGAAATGTTTGGAATAATGAGTGAGTATCAGTGTAGAATGAGCTTATTTCTTGTAATGATCAAGTCTAAAAATAGAAATAAAATCTATTAGGATTATAGAAATATCAAAATATATTGAAAAAACCTGCTAAAATACAAAAATTATACTGCCCAATATTTGAGCAACTACCAGTCAATCTTGACAATGCAACTAATTTTAACAAGAACATTTTCATGAAGGATTTTGTTTGTTTGTAATGTAAGCACAAAGCTACACAATGGGCTATCTGTGCTCCGCCCACCACGGGTATTGAAATCTGGTTTCATTCATGAAGGAAGTTAAGTGTATTGTTAGAAAGATGTAAACAGTTAATGTTTTATGTCTTAAAGCGACATCTTGTCCTTGTTGTCCGTACACGTTTCTGACATCCATACAATGACTATGTTTTATTACAAATGGAGTTAATACTAGTTATCAGTATTGATAAGCTTTGGAAAACCACGATCAACGGTCGTTGTAATGCCGGTTAGTTTTATATTCGTACTTATACCGTGTACGTTTGAAATAAAGTTATGTAAAGTATCATAATTTCATTTTTCGGTTTTAGAACTTTTGATAAGCATTTATATGAGCAAAACAGCTAGTACCCTGTTGTAAATAAGAAGTGAAAGTCTGAAATATTGCTTCTTTTACACTAACGAAAACATCAACATCTTTACATCTAGTCTTGGCCTGGCTTGGTGCAACTTCACTCGTAATCTGTGGGGTCGCCGGTTCGAATCCCGTCACCGAACAAACGCGCCCTTTCATCCGTGGGGGCATCATAATATGACTTTAAGTCCCACTATTCGTTGGTAGAGAGTAACCCAAGAGTTGGCGGTGGAAGGTTTTGACCTTCCCTTGGGTCTACTATGACTTCAGGGTTAGGGATATCTAGCGCAGATAGCCCTCGAATAGCTTTGCGCGAAATTCAACACTACTGTTGTTGAAGGTCTGTTTATAGCTCCAAAAGAAAGGTTGAAGTTATGCGAGTTTCTATCTCATAAACAAAGAGGGACTTTTAGCTGTGATCTCGACCTCTGAAGAACATTTTCTCACGGTAATAAATCCCAATAACCAATGGTAGGTGGTGATCAATTGGCTTGCTGACACACCACATAATTTGTTGTTAAACGGCACTCGCATAGTTTGTTGTGATGTATTTGGATCTGAGCAATGTACATTCATGTGACTGACCCACATTGTTACTTTCAGCTAAAAGACGCCCTGAAAGACGTTGATAAATCTCAAGTGTTTAACTAGAAACCATACGCCACTTTGCTGCAAGTATACTAAGTGTTCAACAATATTTGGCTGAAACTCGTCCCACTCTACTTGACTAGAAGACATGCCATAGATTATTTCTAATTTTGACAAGGAACTTTTTTTTTATTTTCTATGTGACTCATCTTGAATTTCTGTGGTGAAGAACTTTTGCTATTGACTAAGATGAATCAACAGCAAAAGTTCTTCACCACAGAAATTCAAGATGAGTCACATAGAAAATCAAGATGGATTTTCTATGTGACTCATCTTGAATTTCTGTGGTGAAGAACTTTTGCTGTTGATTCATCTTGATTTACTATGTGACTCATCTTGAGTTTCTACGTGATTCATTTTGAATTTCTATGGCGAAGAACCTTTTTTGGTTCTAGATGTTTTATGTGATTCATCTTGAACTTCTTTGCACTAACCTTTTATGATGCTGTGATGGGTTTTTCAGTCGATGTATGTTGTGTGTACGATAGGTGGCGTTCAGTGATGATGGAATATTTTGCACTGCTGTAATATTTGGGTTATCCAGTCAAAAAAATCCATAACATGTGACTCAAAGAACCTGATGTTGACATACTGTCATAATGTTACGCAAGCTTGAAGATCATGGGCACTTATTGTTCATTACGTGATGAGTTTTGTTTTTAAGGATAAGATACTCTAAGATTAAACTTGAAAATATTTTTTATTTCATTGAATAGCTTTTCGGAAACAGAGAAATGCACAGAGCTGTTGAATTAAGACATATATCGTTTCAGGTCTTAGGCTGAATTTCTGTTGAACGCTGTTCGGATGAAATATGTGCTGTCTTTATATTAGTTAGAAAATGTTTAATTTGTTGAATTTCTTGTTGTTTGTTTGCCACTGAGAATGATTTTGTCACTGTGTATACCATTGTTCACAACCAACTGTACTTTTAATTTGTTCGCTTGTTGTTATT